ATCCACATTTGGTCTCTAACGAGTATTTGTGGCAGCAGAACAGTGTGTAAGCTTCCTGTGTGACTCTTTGTGCCAGACTCTTCCCTCACAACAATGACGTGATCAACTTTGCGTCCTGGTTTGTGTTCGCCTTCCCCACCATGGTGCTGATGCTGACACTCGCCTGGTTCTGGCTGCAGTTTCTCTACATTGGCTGCAAGTGAGTCACTTCAAGCAAACACTTTATTTCTTCTCTGTGAATCAAAGTCCACTTATGTTACTCACTGTGAAATGTAAGACCCTAAACATACTTCACACAAGTATGCAAACACAGACGTGTCATTGCGTGTGTTACATGAAAATCCTAACGTGACACGAGCGTGAGTTGCGGTCTGAGTGTTGCCACTACGCAAACAAACTGAAACAATAAGACAGAGCTGATCCCTTCCATCTCGGTTAACTTCTGCTCAGAACAACCATGGCTGACCAGTTCGACGAAGCTCTGACATGTTCATATGTACAGATGTACTTATGATACTTCATCACCTCTTCATTCAGATGGGGTTACAGCTGTCGCCCCCTTATGGACTGAGCTTAATCATCCAACAGTGCATAAAGACTACGTGGACTATGTTCCCCGGGGATGTCTGTGTTGGGCCAGGTGTTGTCATTTTTGTGTGTGCACTTGTGTGAAGTATGTTTCAGGCCTAAGTGTACACGTGCTGGTGCCCACTGCCTCTGTCTCACCAATAGTCAGGCTCAGTCACATTTCCCATGAACGCGATGGAAAAAATAACCTGCATGTTCATTCACGATTTGTATAAAATATCCAAAGCTGTGACTTGTGTTTCCTGTTGTGGTGCAGCCTGCGGAGGACGTGGGGGTGCAGGGCAGTCCAGTCAGAAAAGGAACGAGCAGCGTACGAAGTGATCAAGGAGGAGCACCGTCGCCTGGGACCCATGAGTTACGGGGAGGTCAGCGTCCTGGCACTCTTCATCCTCATGGTGGCACTGTGGTTCACACGAGACCCCCGCTTCATGGACGGCTGGGCCACGCATGTCTTCAACACCAGGGCTGAGTGAGTACCAAAAGAATAAATGAGTACATGTTGTTGTTTTTTTGTTTAGCAAGCTTCAAACTGAGGAGCCTTTTTGTTCCCCGGCACCGAGATTCAAACCTTCAAGTTGGGAGACGACTGCTCTACCCACTCCACTGTCGCCTCCCCACATGAAGGCATGAACCCAGACTGCAGTTCAGCGCACACCTCGCCTCAAGACAAAGCCCCTGAACAAACAGGAATCAAAGGCTCAAAAACAAACAGAGCAAATGTCCTATGGGTACAACTGCTGTGTTTTTGACCTGTGGTCCAGATTTACACGCTGCACTGACATCACCCACACACCTCATTAGCCTGCTCAGAATGACACATCTCAGGATGTCTTCTTTAAGTTTTTACACAAAAGCCACTACTTCTAGTCAGATTATTATTTGACCAACAAAAAGAAGCATGTGGACAAACTGCAGAAGACAGTTGCTAGTTACCAACTAGTGGTAGTGCAGTGAAATGCCTCCTGTGCTTCTGCAGTGTTTTACTACTTTATATACAGCTAGTTTAATGTAATGGCTCCCAACCAAGGGTTCAGGCCCCACCAGGGGGTTACCACGTAATCCGAGGGAACATAACGCGAGGAAAAGAAAGAAGAACTTAATGTTAGTTATAACAACCAAAGGCACCATGTTCAAACATTAATCAGTCATGTTTAAATGTTTAGTTTTGTGTCAGCTGAAATGCAGTGAGGGATGTGTGTGTTTGACGAAAAGCTGTTCACCTAAACATCTGGTGCCTCACCCAGATGTTGGTGTGAACGTCAGTCAGATGTTGTGTCTCTAATACAGCTGAAGGAATACAGACTTCTTAGCCTGAAGTGTGTGTGACATTAATATTCATTTCACGTTGATAAACCTCCAGGAGCTTCCTCTGTCCTGCTCTGTAAATACATGTCATCACTCAAATCCACAGGAAAATAATTCTTCAGTGTTTCATTAATAAATTTTACGCCACATGGACAAGAAGCTGAGTCATGAGTCAGAGAAAGAAGCCAAAAAGGACGGCTAAAATCAGCCTGATACGCCAGGGGTCAGAGGTCACCGGACACGTGCACGATCCAGACCTGGTTTTAAAGGTCGGTCGCCTTGGAGCTGCAGTTTGTGCAAACAGTTGATTTCAGTGTTTCCTGTTTACACGGGCTGATAGTGAAATTCAGATGTTTGTACCTGACCTTCAGTCAATGTCAGGCACTGACAGCTGTTTAATTGAACAGCCGTCAAGTCTAGACCTTACTATTATTAATATTATAGAGGAAAACCCAACAAATCCCCCTTGAGTAACACTTGGCGTCAGAGGGGAGGAAAAACTTCCTTTAACGAAAGAAACCTCCGACAGACCCCGGCTCTTGGTGGGCGGCCTTCTGCCTCGACCGGTTGGGGTGAGTGGATAGAGGAGAGACAAAAGAAGAAAAGCAACAAGACACAACAATCAAACACTGATCAGGTCGATGTGGCTGGTGACTGCTCGTCAGAGATAAGATACGATGGAGCCTTGTCATTAAGGGCTTTGTATGTTAGGAGAAGGATTTTAAATTCTATTCTGAATTTTACAGGGAGCCAGTGGAGAGAAGCTAATATGGGAGAGATATGATCTCTCTTGCTAGTTCCTGTCAGTACTCTGGCTGCAGCATTCTGGATTAACTGAAGGCTTTTTAGGGACTTACTGGGACATTTTGACATCTGACAGCAATGTTTAAAACCAACCAGTCTCACTGCACAGATAAGGACAAGGAGCTGTGATTGCAGCGACTGTAACCGACACTGTTATACCAACAGTGTGTGAAATAATATGAGGACAGGTTTAATGCTCAGGTGTCTCTGGGAGTGATGAACCTGCAGCTCCCCTCAGCTTCACACAGCTTTACAGTTACTGTTCTGGTTCACTGTCATAGTGTGGTGTTGAGTAGGAAGTAGCTGTCCCTGACCTGTTCAGCAAACAGCAGGCAGACAAAGTCAGAGACCTGTAGTTTGTTGAATAAAACTTTGAAAAAAACACACATGACATGCACTGGACATAGATTTTGAAATATCCCGGTCCTGTTTGGTCACTGGGTACAGGCAAACAAAAATACTTTGTGATGAAATCTCCATTCATGAAGTGAGCAGCTGTCTGGCAGCAGATCTGCATCAACAGGAAGTGATGTTTCATCAGGAGTATTTCTGCTTTTCTCAGTATATATTTACAGTCGGTTAATTCAGGGTTTTTTTTATAATTTTCCACATAAGTTAATTTGTCCAGAAAAGATGGAGTAATGTTGTTCCAGTATTATAACTGAAATAAGATTGACTGAATATCTTTCAGATTTGTGGTGGTTTCCCGAATGTTTCAAATTAAACGCCTTCAGAGAGAACAGTCCCTCCGTCTGGAGTCATGTTGCTTTTGCTTCATGTCACCAGTTATAGGAGTGAGACAGCTTTTCTGCAAACAGACACCTACAGGTTAGGAGCTGTGTGATCAGTGTCTCCTCTTAGGCCAAAGGTCAAATATCTGATTTCTCACTTTCACAGTGGATTATTCAGGGAAGTGGCTGATGAATGACCAAAGTAAATGTGGCACTGGGCTCCATCTGTTTCTCCACAGGTTCGTCACTGATGCCACCGTCGCTCTGTTTGTTGCTTTTCTGTTGTTTGTCCTTCCGTGTGAGCCGCCACGCTACCTATGCTGCTGGAGGAGCTTCGGTGCAGGTAACACACACACACACACACACATAAATAACAGAAGCACACAGATATACATAGAAGTACTTACACAGACACACTGGTAACACATACATATACTGTACACAGCAACAACTTTAATTTATGTATGTGTTACCAGTTGTTTTTTTTAATGCAATCAGAGTCCCGAGGCCCCGCCCCCGCACTGCTCACCTGGCAGGTGACTCAGAAGAAGATGCCCTGGAACATCGTTCTGCTGCTGGGAGGAGGCTTTGCCCTTGCCAAGGGCAGCGAGGTGCGTGTGTTGTATCTCTATGAGAATTAGTTTTAGATCTGTAGGGAGAGAATTTGGTCTTTAAGTTACTGGAAATAAAATGAGTATGATTCATGTATGTAGTGCACATTCACATATGCATGTATACATCTAAACTGAGCAAGGTTTCCAGGAAGCTACAGAATAATAATTCAAATGTCAGAACCAGAGAGAGCATTTGTGGAAAATAATGATGTTTTAAAAACTGAGGACTTTTTGGAAAATGTTCTTGGAAGCAAAGCAGATCAGACTCTGGGAACATGATTGGAAAGTAGAAACAAGTCTGAGGTAAAGACAGGTCTAATCAGGGAGGACATCTTCAGAGTGCACACCTGCCCACAGCCCTGCACCACAGCAGTCTTACATCCCTCAGACCTGACATGATGTGTGTGTGTGTGTTGTCAGGAGTCCGGTCTGTCCCACTGGCTTGGTGCTCAAATGACGCCGCTCCACTCCATCCCTCCCTGGGCCATCGCCGTCGTTCTCTGCCTCCTTGTCGCCACCTTCACCGAGTGCACGAGCAACGTCGCGACGGCAACGCTGTTCCTGCCCATCCTGGCCTCCATGGTGCCAAAACACTCACAGTACATACGGTGTATTCACAGTGTGACAGTCGCTCATTATCAGCATGCAGCAGGACTCGGAGAGGGCAGGGTCACTGCTGAGATGCTGCACATCCTACAGATGTTTCACATTAAAAGCCTTCTTAGAACCAGGCATAATTTGCCGTTTGAGTCACTGGAAGGCTTTTAATGTGAAACATCTTGGGAGGAAGTGTAAAGCAGAGGCAACAAGTGTTAGGATTCATTCCAGGACATGAGATGCTGTTTTTCTATGTTCACATTTTCTGAGCTGTTTCTGTGTGTGCTCTGCCCAGTGCCAGTCTATAAGCCTGAACCCTTTGTACGTGATGATCCCCTGCACCCTCAGCGCCTCCTTTGCCTTCATGCTGCCTGTGGCCACACCTCCCAATGCCATTGTCTTCTCCTACGGCTTCCTCAAAGTGTCTGACATGGTGAGTCCTGCTTTGTTTGGGGTCTGGAACAACACGATTCAGACCCACCCATGAAGCCATAATAAGTTCTTCCTCCTGCTTCACCCTGTCAGGCTAAAACTGGAGCAGTAATGAATGTCATCGGGATCGGCTGCATCAGTCTAGCCATCAACAGCTGGGGTCGCATTATGTTTTCCCTGGACTCGTTCCCTTCGTGGGCGAATGCCACTGCACCTGTGTAGGCCATCCTCTGCTGTCTGCAACCTGCTGCTGCCGGTCAAACATGTTTTATCAAACATGTTTTATCAAACATCTCAGCCCTATCACTGGACTCTGGATGGCGTTGGGGTGAAACTTTCTGGTGGATCTGAACAGGCAGAAACATTGTCTCGATGTTTGGACCTTCTCATTTCTGATGTGGAGTGGATTCCCAGAGCTTTCACTGTGAAACTGGCTCCACTGAAAGACCTGTGTTTAGCAGGACTGGTTGATTTTTATAATCCTGTTAGCAGCTTCCACTGCTAACTAATGGTAGCATCAGTCTCCAGAGCTGCACCTAGGACCATGACATCAACTGTTAAATAAAAGCTGGTTTTCAGATCAAATAAAAAGTAATGCCCACGGACGCAAGAACAAACATCTGCAGTATACACCAGATAAAAGAAACACTGAGGTTTAGATATCTTCCACAGTGGATTATTGCCGTGAAAGGAAATGTTATACTCAAGCTATCAAGATAAAAGCTAAACAAAAAGGAAGCCAGGCTGGTTTGCATTAACAGCCAGTCAGAACAAGAGCAGAGCAGAAATCCAGGAGGGTTGAATAAACTCAAATACACAACAGTGTAAATTAGAATTAAAACTCATGCCTCTTATGTAAGTCTGGTAAAGTGTAATGTGAAGTGTAATCGTATGAAAATATATGCATAGTTGAAATGTAGTTAAAAGCCTTGAAAAGTCTGATCACTGTAGCTGACAGGTCAGTTTTTTTCTATATAACTTCATTTTTTTGTGGTATTTTTATACTTGTTATTTAGATCAGGCATTTTCTGTCTGACAGGATACAACTCTCATCACTGTGAATTCCAATCAAATTATTACAAAATGGTAAATGCTCTCATGCTTCTACAGTACTTTTCTCTACATTTCAGCAAGCTCAAAGTGCTTTCACATTATTTGGCCATTCACCCATTCGCACTCACAAATTCACACACTGGTGATGTCACTAGGAACAACTGGGGGTTTGGCGCTTTGCTCAAGGCAACTTTGACAAGTGGACTGGAGAAGCCAGAAATCAAACCGCCAACCTTCTGGTTAGGAGATGACCTGCTCTACTTCCTGAGCCACAGTGGCCCTTAAATAAAAATATATACTGTATTTTTTTATGTTTAAACATTAGTTTTACTGAGTAACAGTTGTAACGTGAGTGAGTTAATGTGTACTGTACATATGTAATTTCCACAGTTTTGTACCATGTTGATGCTTATGGCAATAGTTTTATTTGGTGTTAATAAAAGTTTATCTTTAAAGAAATGTGTGTCCACAGTCTTTTGATTGTGTAATTAAAGCAATAATATTATATTAATGCAAACTGTTTATGTTAGGGAGGACACCACAGGAACCTGATAGTTATTCCTTTGGCAAATGTCTCCCTCTCGCGATCAGACAATGAACAGCAGGTGCCATAAAGTGACGTAAATGTCGTAATGACTACTGCTTTTCTTCAAATATGGATGCGTACGCTTTGTGGTGGTGATTAAATAGTGACAGAGACAAAGAATATTTGCTCTTATTTTATTTGTTCTTATTGTAACATCGTCAAAATAAATTTGATTGATTGACAGTTAGCGAAAGTGTGCTGTTTTAAGGACCGCATCTGTCCGTAGCCGCCGTCATGGAAACAGGTTTGTAGCCGTTGTTGTGGCTTCTTGGTTTGCTAACATTAGCTTGTTAGCATTCGTCGTGTGGAAATAATGAACTGCCATCAATAAATTGATTTACTTTAATCCGGATTTTGATGTTTGTTAAGAGTAAGTGTTTGGAAGTGACAGAAGATGTCATTCGGTGTAGATAAGACCGACTCTTTCATTTGGCAAATATGATTCCCCGCTGGTATTTGAACAGTATTTAAATTTAGTTCATGTGAAGTTGTGAAAATAAAATATTTATGTGTTATTGATATTATTTACTGCTTGGTGAATCACGCGGGTTTGTAGTCGAATGATAATTAGGAACTTCGAGTATTCCGCTGATAAACAAAAACTGCGTTAAATTGTCAGATCCTTGAATAGAGTCTGGTTAACGGGTTCAGTGTTGGGGTGTTTGTTTACAGGGTTATATTAGTTACATTCTCATTGTTTACATACATTCAGCATCTTAATGAAGACGTTGTTAACGCTGATAAGTGTTGCCATCCTTGTAGCAACTGCTAGTTATTTATCGACTTGTTTTGCTGCGTTCCTCGTATAGAGACAGTGCTGTTCCAAACTACTTTAGAAATTAGTCCAGTTAAGGACGTCCTTGTTTATGGATAAACATATGTGTATATTAGTACTTTGCCTAAGACATTTTCTAAATAGCTGAGATTGTCTCGTCAAATCGGCGCCTATTCAGTTCACCAGTAAATGTAGTGAATTGTTTAACTGACCAGAGACTGCTTCCAGTATTAGGCAGTGCAAAGTTAAGTTGCTGCACGCTTGAATAGGCTGGTGCACTACAGTGTTTTAATGACACATGCACATTTTCATTTTTAGTTCCTTTTAAAATTCAAATAAAAATTTAGTGGAACCAGGCTGATTGAGACTCATTGTACATTCTCTAAATCTGTGCCTCCTAAAATTGACCATAATTAATTCAGTGTCATGTTGCTGCTGGTTGTTGTGTAACTGTTAAACCACTGCATTTGTTTGTGATACAGGTATTTTTTTATGTACATATGCATTATGTAAAGCACTTTGAATTGCCTTTGTGTATGGAAATGTGCTATGCCAAACTTGCCTTGCAGATGAGCAGGCCAGGAACCGTTTCCAGTCGGAGCTGGAGTTCGTCCAATGTCTGGCCAACCCCAACTACCTGAACTGTGAGTGGCATGGGCCCCGGTCTCATCAGATTCATTTGTTGTGTGACACTCTTTGTTACTATAATAACTGAGTAATTTTTGTTTGTTTTTCATAGGTGACTTATTGAATTAACTGTTCTGCAAGTTTTAAGTAAAGTAACAGTTGATTAAAGAAAGTTTCTCTCTTAAAACTTCTAAATAATGTAAATATCATACCATTGTCTCTGTTTTGCCTTTAGTTAGTATCAGGGTACATAGTTGTTTCCAGAACACCTCTTAGGAAATGATAATGCAGATACCAGTCTTATCAGAACATGAATGTCTGAACACAGATTCAAAGCTCTCTCCACACTACCAGCAGTACAGTTATATTGATTTAGTTCTGGTCGGCCAAAAGGTCAACACATTTAAATACATGAAGTGCAACAATACTGGAATTAGCCTAGAAATTACCCCACCATGTGCATGTTTACCTCCAGAACGACAACCCCCAGGTCTTTAAAAACCCCAAATCTTAAATACAAAAGCAGACCTGTCAGTGTCTGAAGGCCAGTGCGGTTTGGAGCTTGACTGTCCTGCACAGACCCATCCAGCACCTTCAGGATGAACTGGAACCCTGACTGTGAGCCAGACCTGGTCACCAGCATCAGTACTGGACCTCACTGATGTAGCAGCTGCTTCAGCATCTTTTGCGAAGACTGAAATCAGTAGAGTGGAGGATGTTTCAGCAGAGCATTAATGCCCATGGCTGTCCAGATACTTTCTGCAGTGTCATGTAGTGTATAGTTTCATAAGATATCAGTGCAGCACTGGTCTGAAATGTGTGGCTGCTAACCCTGTCCTGTGTGTGTCCAGTTTTGGCTCAAAGAGGTTACCTGAGGGAGAGACCCTTTATTAACTACCTGAAGTACCTGCTGTACTGGAAGGAGCCCGAGTATGCCAAGTTCCTCAAGTAAGGCAGCCTGCTCTCCTTACACATGCTCTCTGTCAAAGTCAAGGTGTTTATTTGTCATATGCACAGTTAGGAGACGTGTTTCCCTGTACAATGAAATTCTTACTTTGCCGTCCACATGAATGCCACAAAATACAAATGAAATATAAAGTAGATGAATAAGTAACACAAAATCTAAGGCACTTTAAGCAGCAAATGCAGCAATATAATAAAAATATATAAGAATATAATGAGAGAATATATGCTGCATGGGAGCAGCATGTGCAGTAGTCAACAGTCAATGTGCAATTATGCATGTGCAAACATGAGAATGTAAACATTACAGGTCATCAGTACATGACGTATTTCCTGGTAATAAACTCCTCAGCTGTTTAAGAGTCTGATGGCAGAGGGAAAGAAAGAGTTTTTCAGTCTAGAGGTCTGGCATTTCACACTTCTGAACCTCTGGCCAGAGATATCTTCACATTTTGTATTTTATCTCTGTCAATAAATTGCAGCACCGGATGTGGATTAATCTGCCGTTGAAAGTAGTCCCCAGCAGACGTATTATTGGATTTCCTTCCCTTTGTTTGATAAAAAAAACGACCATTTCGTTAACATCACAAAATGTAGTTGAACTGGTCATGTCTCTAGTCCCCATCACTGTTTATCACAACAGGTTTTGTAAAACGGATCCAGACACAGGAGCGGCACACAGTCCGTGGCTTTTGAAGAATGAATGTGGACATGGACATTAATTTAGTTCATTATTGATGTCATCCTTAGGAAGTTTAGCTCTGGGCACATGTTTTTTTCACTGTCATGCTAAATTAATTAACGTGCACAGTATTTTCTGTGTGAGAATACAGTATGATAAATTAAGCATTCTGGATGGAAAATCAAAATGTGCCTTAGTGAATGGAGAGAAGAAAACATATTTTACAATGGCCCACATTTGTGTTGCCACATCTGCGGTGGGGACAATCAGCCCCAGGCAGCTTTTTCAGGACCATCTCAGGGAGACATGCACATAATTTCACATCTATTTAAACAGTCTGGTTTCTTGATGTGTGAATCTCTACAGGTTTACAGTCTGTCCTGTTATGTAATGAGCAGATAGTGTCAGTGTGTGTCAGAGCTGACTTCCTGTTGGTCACCTGTCCTCCCAGGTATCCTCACTGCCTGCACATGTTGGAGCTGCTGCAGTACGAGCACTTCAGGAAGGAGCTGGTCAACGCTCAGTGCGCCAAGTTCATCGATGAGCAGCAGCTGTTGCACTGGCAGCACTACTCCAGGAAACGCACCCGGCTGCAGCAGGCGCTGGCCGAACAGCAGCAGGCACAGCAGCGGCAGGCGCCCCCCGGGGCACCCGCTCACTGGAGGTGGGGCGAGGTCGTGTGGACCATAGCTCCACTGACACTGGAGTGTGGAGGCTGGTACCATATGTGAGAGTTTAAAAAAGCCTGACCGCCACATAGCGGCCAGGTTCTCTTCTCTTCTTTTTTTGTTTTACCTGAACACACAAAGGTTTTAGTTGGAATTCCTTAGATGTGCTTATTAACGAGTTGTGACCAGAATACTGGAAGTTTGCAAATACTGTCCAAGACCTTTACTTGGGGCCGGTTTAAATTAGAGACAGTGTTCTTCAGTGCAAAGACCAAATGCCTCCCTGCTGTCTCGATGAATTCAGTGTAACATCTGTTTCCACAGAACTGATTCATCACTACAGCAAGTATCATGTCAGGAGCTCCACTTTGACTCTTTCCTCAATTCAAGCACTGTGGCACTAGGCAGCAGGTGATCCTTTTAACAGATGTGTTTCCACCACAGGAGCTTTTCCTAGGAAACGGGAACCCTTGAGAAGCTCAGTTTGCCAGGCTGTGCTCCAGTCAGAGGAGCCAGGGTCTACATTAAGTTCCTGGGAGGTGGTTTTGCCCCAAAGGCGTCCATGCTCCGGGATAGGTGTCTGTAGGTGTTCATGCTGGCCGCACGCTTGCTCATTATGTGAGTACCAACCTTGGGGATGTTTTGCATAGGCTTGTCAGCGCTCTCCAGTGGACAGACTGTAATGGAGGCGCAGTGTCTGAATGATCTCGGACACAGCTTTAACGTTTCTCAGCTGAATGTAGAGTCACCATGTTTCTCAGCTCAGCAGCAGTGACGACATCTTCCTTCTACACTTGTCATGCAGAGCAGATTTTACCTGACACAGAATGACAGGGGGCAGGGGAAAGCATCTGGACTTGTACTGAAACACAAACATGTCACTCGCTGATCATAGAATTGGATTCCAAAGCTGAAAATACAGACTTGTAAGATGGTCAGAAATTGTGTTTGAAATGTACATGCTGTGAAGAGCAATGACGCGACTGCAGCATAGCAAAACCCAGGATGGATATGGGTCCAGAAATGTCTCCATCACAAAAGTCGATTAAGCCGTGTCCAGAAGTCAAAGCTCTAAGGAAACGTCCTGACCGACTGGAGGAGCTCTACTGCTGCTGCAGTATTTCTCCTGCAGGAGACAGTTCACAGTGTATTAAATAAATAATTGTTTTAGTCACTTTTTAGGCAATGTGAATGATTTGCTGTTTTCATTGTCATGTGACAGTAAACTGAATATCTTTGGCTTTTGGTTGAATAAAATCACAGGTCTGGATAAAACTGAATGATGGAAATAATATGCACTTTTCACTATATTATTACACTTTTAAGACAGTTATTGATAAGTTAATTGGAAAAAAATATGCAGCAGTTTCATCCATGAAAATAATTACTGGTTTCAGCCCTAAATAAAATGTTTGTGTAAATGCTAAATAATTACACTTATTTAGTAGTTCAAATAATCATACATGTTTATATTCCAGCCTTTGTATTTATTGAATAACTTGCATTTTAATGGATGTGTCTGTAATATCAATATATGTGGATCATTGTTATTTTTAATGATTTGTTTTGTAAAAATGTTCCTTTTCCTTTCACTCAGCCTTTTACTTGAGTGAAAATAGAAATGCCACATGGAAAATAGTTAGAACGTCCTGCATCCAACATTTTAATTAAGTAAAAGTAGAGAAGTATTTGCATCAAGTTATACAGCTGATGTTAACCGACTTATAATTTGAAGTGCCTGATATCCTTCTGAGTAGTTTAATTAGTATTGACGACTCATACTTTTTAGTGAAGTACTTATTTCCACCACTGTCTAGTAATAATTGTCCCCAGTATAGTTTTTTTTTTTTTTTATCCACAACAAATTCATTAACTGTGATGAAGCATAAGACCGTCTTTGTGCAGTTTTTGCTCATATAGTTTAGTATTAGAGCTTTTATTGTGAAGGACGCGTATCGGAAGTTGAGCCGTTGACCTTTCTCTTCACGTCCGTCGTCGCGTTATCGCTGTAGCGCCGTATTAACGACAATCGGCCCCCCTTCCAAGTGTGGCTCTCGCCGATTCACTCCCAGCGTTTCCTGTATATTTATATTCTAACGTTCGGGATCCCGGACTTGTCTCGAAAAAGTGTCCCCCCGTCAAGAGGTGAACCCCCTGTTAAAAGCTCGGTTTCACGTAACGGCCCCTCAGCGCTTGTTAGGATACTGTTACCGGAACCAGTAAAAAAAAAAAAAAACGCGACATTTGATTGTTTATTATACCGAGTAATAGAAAGGTTGTATTTGATAGAACATATTCTGTGCGCTACACAGCCTCTAGCTAGATTCTAACACGTTGTGGTGTTTCAGCGAGTGGAGAATTAATCTGTAAATTAGCTCAAACATTTACAGCTTTTGCCTTCACAGGGGTGTTTCTCAGCTGTTCAAAGTTCAGATGTGATCCACGCGGACTGAGACTGGTAGGTGAGCTTACAAACTGTCTAAACTATATCTGCCAGTGTATTTATGGGTTAGAATCAGATTCAGCTTTACTGGGCGGGTGTGTTGGATACATGAGGAGTTTGACTGTGATCCAGCGGCTCTCAAGCGTGTATGTACAAGTTTCTTCCATCAGGCAACAAGTAAGCAAGATGAGACTGAGGGAACAAAAAAGAAAAATGTGTATTAGGAAAATAAAAATAAAGTACTTATATATATATATATACAGTTTAGATGCAGTTTTTCAGATATGTACAAAAATATATTTACAAGGTATTTCCCTTAGGGCTGTCATTTTGTTGCACAGACTTGGGTTAACTTCATCAGGGGGAAGGAACCGTCCTTGCTTCTGGTTGTCTTGGCGTACAGGCCTTCTGTAGCCAGTGATGTTTTTCAGGTTTCTCCACATGGACGAAGGGTCGTTGGCTGAAGCCTGTATTTTCAGCCTGGGATGGGGGTTAATGTCCCTACCAATGTTGAGACCAAACCTAAGCCCTTAGTTTAGTGTGATACATTTGTGTACGGTGGGTGTGCTCATCTGTGTTGTGTTCATGTGTTACGTACTTGCCTGACAGTTGCCACTGATAGAAAAAGCTCCTTGAATTTTGAAAAGACTTAAACCTATCAGACATGTTCCTCCAGCCCTTGGATCAGGTGTGATGTGTCTGTTTTGATTCACAGGGCAGATGAATCATCTGTCTTGTTGTTTACCTGCAGTGTGTCTACAGTTGTGTGGTTGCACAGAAAAGACATGAGCAGCTCTCTCTCCCTCAGGATAAGGATGATGTTGCAGCGGGTGGCAGTTGTTGGAGCCGGGCCGGCGGGCCTCTGTACAGCCAGACACATCCTGTCCCGTCTGAACAGCTTCGCCCCTCCGGTGGTGTTCGAGCTCACTGACAACATCGGAGGCACCTGGCGTTACAATGAGCGTGTCGGGACGTATGACGACGGCCGGCCGGTCCTCAGCAGCATGTACAGAGACCTCAGGTGTGTTAGTGTGCGCACAGGAAGACTGCAGAAGCAGGCACTGCCTCAGGGCCCGGACCCTGTGGCCCCTAAAATCCCCAGGTTTACTACATATCACTTGGGTGCACATTTATAGACCGTTTGTCTGACTGTGGACTGAAGAAGATCCAAGCTCTGACATTGTTCTCTAACCTTGTGAAGCTTGGGCAGACCAACAGCTTCAGTTTCAGTCCTCAGTCTCTTTTTTTGTGAGATACGGTTCACATCAGCAGCAGCAAGAGTGTTGTTAACCCACAGCTCCAGTCTTGTGTCACTGACTGGACTCCAGGTTTGCTAATTCCTGACTCCAGCTGGGGTGGGGTTCGTTGTTGCAGAAGGCTTCACAAACTGTTTCCAGCCTACACTGTGAATGTTAGAATGTGTGTTATTACCTGAAATAGGTTGTGCTTGTCTGTATTTGTAACTTGGATGAAGGTCCGACCATCTCTTAAAACACATTTATACATAAAGGCAGCTACTTCTGAAGGTTTTAGTCACTAGCAGCTGTAGCGGAAGTTAAGGTTCAGAAACTTGCATGACTTCTGGTTATTCTGGTTTCCTGACCTTCCTGCAGGACCAACCTGCCTAAGGAGGTGATGATGTTCCCTGATTTCCCCTTTGAGTCCCAGCTGAACAGCTTCCTGTCCCATCAAGAGGTTCTCAGCTACCTGGAGAGATACTGCCAGAGCCACAACATCCGGCCTCACATCCGGGTGAGTCGTGCTGCTGCTGATCATCTGACTGTGCCGTCACAGTCTCATTACATATAGAATAAATGAAAATCTTATGTTACAAAAGCCACTTTTGTCATATGCATTCACAGTCTTGGCATTTCAGTGATCTTAAGGTGTTAGGATGCACAGTAAATGAACGGTCACCTTATGTTAGATGTTATTCTAATGTTTTTTTGTGTGGCTTTGGACAAAGCATCTGCTAAATACTGTAACTTAAATATCCCGTATTATGCACTTAGTTTGTTCTGTAATGAAAATAATGTTTAGTTTGAGCTTCCCTGTTGTGACTCTTTTTCATCATGTTTACTTCAGTTCAACACTGTAGTGAAAATGGTGAAGCCTGTGGTCATGACAACAGAGGACAAGGAGGACAGGATGACATGGGAAGTGACGTCTTCTGATTTGTCGGGTTGTCAGAGGACAGAAACGTTCGACGCCGTCTTTGTCTGCTCAGGGTAAAATGTGACACAATGTGCACCCGACTTTGTCATTTTTTTATCTGTTCATCCTGTGTGTAGATTTAGTTTAGCCCTTTTTTAATTTTTCATTTTCAACACCTCACTTCCTGTTATTTCCTGTGTCATTTCCACCTGTTGCCACTTGGTGTCACCAAAGTGCTGCCTTTGTTGTGTTTGTCTTTAAGGCACTACTCCGACCCTTACATCCCAAACATACCAGGCATTGAGAACTTTAAAGGTACAGTCTCCATACATTATGTTTTTATACACAGAACAGTTTTATTAACAGAGACAGCGAGGCCTAGTGCTCGCTGTGTCACACTTACATTAACCCAGTGAGCCTTGCGGTGCTCTTGAAGGTTTTAAAACGTGATCACAGTAAAGACAAGAAAAGTAATATTAAATCAGTAGTAGTACTGATATAATATTACTGCTTAAATAAGAAGCATGGCTATGTAATTAGTGGAACCAAACACAGTTGTTCATTTATTTTATTTTGGGCATAGTGCAATAGTAGTGTGTGTAATCTGGTCACGGTGACGGTAACCTCCTGCTTTCGTTCAGAAAGTCCTTATTACAGAACCATGCTTATTATTGAACAGTAATGTATCAGTGTACTTGCTGCCAAATTATGAGTAGATCCATAGCTTTGCAAAAAGTATTGCAGGGGAACACATAAATAGATCAGAAAACAAAACAAATCCCCCCCATGCTTCCAGTCTTTGAGCTAAGTTAGGCTAAGTATGATCTGGGCCTGTGTCTCTCCTCTCTGTGTTTGTAGGCAAGGTGCTCCACAGTCACTCTTACAGGTATGCAGAGCTGTTCTCGGGTCAGTCAGTGGTGGTTCTGGGAGCCAAATCTTCAGGGCTGGACATTTCCATCGAACTGGCCAGAGTTGGTGCCAAGGTAACAGACAGCACACTGCGGTGCCACCTGATGCACTTGTCACCAAACTGTGCATTTTGTATAGTAACTGAAGATCTGGTTTAACCATGTGATTCCAAATGTCAGCCAGTGTTGTCACTTTCCTTAAATCACGTTCATGTTTAAAGCCATAAAGAAGATTAATGGAAAGCTGCTCCATGTTTGAATGACAAGATGAATTAGTTTCACAGATATGTGAAGCAGCAACTCTTCTGAGTCTCATTCTCTCTGTTCAGGTGACTCTGAGTCATCGTGATCCTCCCTTTACCTTTCCTCTTCCTGCTGGGATTCAACAGACCAGCCCAGTGGTGGCGGTCGAGGATGACGGCAGCATTCGCTTCCAGGTGCCTTTACACTAACAATTGACATTTTTTGCTCTTATCTTACTTTTAAACAGTGAACTGGCAATCTGTTGTTAAAGAAGGTGTTGTTAGCCGTCAAGCCTGTCATATTTGAATCATTTATCATGTGCATGTGTTGGAGAACGCTCACTGAAATATAAGTGATGGTTCAGAGTATCCTCCATTATGTTTTTTGACAGCTGCTTTCTGTATGTTCAAAACTAAACTAAACTACAGCTCCCTGTTACAGGATGGTTCAGTGGGCACAGCCGACGTCTTCATATTTTGCACCGGGTACAATTTCTGGTTTCCATTCCTGAACGCAGCTCAGCTGGGTCTGGAGATCCAAAACCACACTGTTTCTCCCCTGTACCGCTACCTGTTGCCTCCCGCCTGCCCTTCACTCTTCTTCATTGGCATCTGCAAGATCATTTGTCCCTTTCCCCACTTCAACTGTCAGGTGGGTGAGGGACGCTCATCCAAGTGTCAGGAGTGACAGGTGAAACACTGTTTAGCAAAACAAGTTAGAAAGTGAAGAAGAAGCAAAAGGAAAGTAGAGAGACAAGCTATGAAACAAGGGGAAAGGAATGAACAGCCCACAAAATAACAGCTGTGAAATAAAGACAAAGCCTGTCTGTTTTGAAATTGTTTGTGGCCTTTGTCATTT